TCTTTGTTATTGTCTATGTGCGACCATACTTCTTCTCTTCTATTTCGAATTGTTGTGTATAGTTAACACCTTGAAATTTCTAGTACTCTAGGTAAAGGGTTTTGTTGGATAAAAATAGGAAATGATATATACAAACCCATCACCTAGCAGGGTTAAATTTTTTATATCATAAATTACAAATAAAATATTTATATGAAAATATAATTAAAGAGATTTTTTTATTTTGCATATAAAAAAATTTTTTTAGAGATTATTATATAGAAAATAATATGATTTACAAATATGTTAAAAGTACACTAACAAATATAACATTTTATTCACTGACATATTTTATGAAAATAACGGAATTCATAGCTCATAAGAATAAAACATAATATTTATGATTCACCCATAATCAAATAAAGGGGAAATTTCTGATTCAGCAGTTATTCTTTGATCAACTATTTGCCAATGTTATACTATATTTATGCAATTTATTATAGAATTCTATTTGAATTTTTAAAGTTGTTAAAATCAATAAACCGATTTCATACCGAAAAAGTTTTAAAATTAGAATCGAAATCTTAATTTTACACTATGAACAACAACTCATAAAATTGAAATATTTTGAAATTAAACAAAATCGAATCCTCAAAATTTTTGCTTTATATTTTTTTAAAAAACGTTTATTTTGTTCATAGATACAATCGATTATAATCAATCCTTAGCTATGCATAATGAAAATATTACAACAGAATCTTTATTACTAGTCAAAAAAAAAATTAAGTTATCCAAATCAATTATTAACCGAAAAATATGCTTATCGTTTTTACCTTTTATAACTTTTGCGATCGTACATTGCCTTTTATTTTTATGCTCAATGTGTAGTGTATTATTCATCGCTCTGCGCAGCCACATTTTTGCAACTTACTTTAAATCCTTCCAAATTAGAAATAATTTAAAGAAATTATCAATGAAAAAGGGACTAAAACCGTGTGTTGCTTATATTGAAAACAATAGATGTAGTTCGGCAAATTCCCCAAATCTAAGTCACGACAAATTAATTAACTTAAATGACACTTTTTCAAATATCTATTCCAAGAATTCAACATAATATTATGAAAGCTCAAAATTTATACTAGTAACCATTTATAGTTTTTATATTTAATATTTAAAATTGCAAGGCTTATTAGATTTAATACTATGAGATTAGTTATCTGCGCTAGTTAATTATATAGATCGTATAAACCATAATTATAATATTCATGAATATTGTTATAAATATTTGCTTTTTATTGTGTACAATAATATATTATCCATTTTTCGTATATAATATTTTCCCAGGCACTTATCCGACTTACATTTCTATTTTAAGTAAAAATTAAATTATTCTTTTTTGAATAATTTTAGGGTAGTGTCCTGGTTCGACCTATTAAACCGCCAGATGTTTGGTCAGCTTTATAGCTTCGAGTTCGACTAATAGCCTAAAAATCAAAGAAAAACGTGAAAAAAATTAAAATAAATAACAATGTCACCAAACATTTAAAACAAACCAAAGTAGGGTCCCCTGTTTAAAGCCTATGCCAAACAGTAATAAGTATCAAAATTAAGTGGAACCAGGACATAATCTAAATGAAAATAAAAATACATAAACATAAATTATATCAAGAAAGAAATTATTAAATTTGGATATTTACTTTCAACATCGCGGTAGATAATCGTAAGGTTATATGGTTTAAGTAAAATATTGGTTTTCAAACAGTAAGGCGATAGTTTCAATTTAATATATCCATTTGATGGTACTGGATTCCCATTCATGGTAGTCAAACTAGTAGTATCACTAAGGGGACAGGGACTCGAGCATCGTAAAAAATTTAAAGAACCCCCACGAAATTTTGATTTATTTTTTATATCAAGTATAATTTTGGATAGTATTTGCTTAAAAAAAGGTAATTTTAAAATTACTTTAAAAAAATATTTGGAGTCCTCTGAGATTATAAAGAATAATGACGCCCCTGGTCAAAGCAGAGGTGAGTTGGGCTGTCATCGACAAGTACAAATATAGGTCTTTTTCTAATTATTTAGGAGATAACGGTAAATCAATTTTTGCCAAGTACCTTTTCAAAATTGTGAGTATCAAATTTTGAAATAACTATTGGGAGGCAGATATAATTATTTTATTTAATGGATACAAAATATATAAAGTAAAAAAACAATTAAGGTGTATATATATGAATAAATATATAATCAAACTTCATCTTTAAAAACAAATCATTAATAATCGTCAGAATTAACATTATTTCTTAAACAAAAAATATGAATCTTCAAAACTAACTATCGTTTTAACATTATTTCTTTTAAAAACATTTCTCCAAAAAAAACAATTTGCATGTATAATAATTATTTTTAAAATAGAACTATTTCAACCAAAGTTCAAATTAGCATAATCATTACAACAGTACCTAATGGATTTGTGAAAAACATTTTCGGTTTTGTTCTTTAGCTTTAAGTGTTCGTTGTACCTTCTCCATACTCATTGTTTACCTTTAATTAAATTAGATATTGATCATTTTGAGAGTTCGCCTATTTATTCAAAATTTTTATTTTCGATATATTCCATTTCTGTTGAGAAATCGACTAAATTGATTTAGTGGCCTTATGGCATGAATTTATACATGAGAGTCAGGTAAAAATTTGGCTATGCTGGACAAGTAAAACTTATTCAATTAACGAGAAAGGGCTGTTCGACGATGGTTGGGGGGGGGTCCTAGGAACTTGAAAACCTGAGATTGTGACTCCCATTTGGTTTGCTCCCAACCCCATGCTATGGCTTTGGCATACACTTGAGCTTTGGAGGCTATATCGCGCAAGAATTTATATGACATATCCTCTTTTAGTTCCTCGACGGCTATCTTGAGCGAGGGAAATTCGTGCGCATCCCTGCCTTTAGCCTGGTATCCTGCCGTAACTTCTGCTACGTGCATCGCATTGACGTAGTGTTTAGCCACTCGGATGAGTTTACGCTTATCCGTTTCCGTTGCGATGCTGAGACTCTTGATCTCGTCTTCCGTCAGGAGGCATTCCATGGATTCCGTGGTGAGATCTACCAATGGGAAACGCGGTGGAAGTACCAGGGTGGGAAAGATTAAAGGCGTGTGTTGCGGATTCGCGTCTAGCGGGTTTTGTTCCGATGTGCTCGCTTTGCTTTCCTTGCTTCCTGACATCTTCTGGAGTACATTGAGAATCATTTCCATTTTATTCTCCATAAGATCCATCTTGCCCGTGGATTCAGCGGCTATGGTTTCTAGTCTTATTTTGACTGTATCTAGGTCCGCTTTTAGTTGATTTCTTGCAGATTCCGACATTGCTCTCGTATTGTCTGACGGTGCAGAATTATTTCTGAGGCGATCAATAGTTTCGTCTTATGTTCGTGATATCCACCAAAATTTCTGGGATAGGAACGGCGTATTGATTGTGGAATAATAAATTTGCAATAATAATTTATATTCCCAATCGTCGTATATATATATACGTGAGGGATTTTTTCCTCTTATTGAGAATAGTCTGAAGCCTGCACAAATCTCTGGATTTCTTCTTCTCATATGTGTTGTACAGAGAGAAACTACAGCATTTTTTATCCCATTTAAGGTTAAAATACCAAACTAAAATTTAATTTCTTATATGAAATTATTTATTTTCAAAACATATCTTATTAAAAATTTGTAAAAATACGTTTTTTGATATTTTTAAAAATTATTATATAGTTGAATTAAAACTAAGAATAGATAAAATAATATTAAATTTTTTTTATAAAATATGCCTGGGTATGCAAACTTGCTAGCTGATATTTTGTATAAGCATATATATAATAGGAATAAGCCATCAAAGAGGGCTCATACGAAGGCCGGGTAAAAACGGAACAAAATGGGGGGGGGCAAAGCTTCCCATATAAATGAGGCTGCTGGAAAAGATTTTTCTACTAGGCCGCAGCATTGCCAGTAAGTAGTGTAATAAATGGCTCCATTATTAGCACCTACTCTGAAAATGGTGCGCCAATTTTTTTAGGGAAGGTCTGGACATTGGTACAAAGAACTAGCCTCTTATTTTCTAAGCTTCGATTGAAGCTTAAATTTAAAGATTAGATCAATCTTGAAAAAAAATCAAATCGTGCCTCAAATTTCAGGGATTTCAATAAGATCAACCAAATTTAACAACACTAGAGCAATAAATAGTACAATCTTAAATCCGTTAAATGGTTAAAAGGAATTTGAAACTTTTTAAGTAGGTAGGTTATTGGTTGTTAGAATTAATTAATTTAAAGAATTAATAAAATGGGATATTTTTTACCAGGTTCTTCGGTGTCCTTTTCCCAATGAATCATTTTTTTAATTAATATATTCATAATGAAAATTATAGAAAATTCCCTAACTGTGGTGGATACTTAGCAGTGCTGTCAAGTGTAAAACGGACTTTTATTTTATGAACTTGATCATGATAAATAATTTGGTAAAAAGAAAATAATTTATCAAATTTTATGTTCATATGGATCAATATTGTTGTGAATTCCAGATCCATATATCAAAATATAGGAGGAATTAACGCTCTGCAATAAAAATTTTTTTAAAAAACACAGCCCAGAAGTAAACAAAGAAACGGACGATTTATAGAAAATATTTTAATTCATATTTATTTATTTTTAAATTTGTATCGGCGGCATTTCCAGGATAATATTTTTTGATAATATATTTAAAAAAATTATAGCCCCCACTAACCTAACAAAATTATTTTGCTGGATTTGCTTGAAGTATGTTCCCAAAATTTAATTGTAACAACCATGATCGCTCATTGGTAAATCAGTCTGGACTATTATATTTCAGGACTGTGGATTTTTTAAATTAAAAATATTTTCAATATTTTACTATCCAACTACAGCCCTGGGGTTATCATTTCATATTAAAATATTTTTAAATATTAATTGGCATTTATAAATGTCAATATTTGACGAATGTTATTATGACATGTATAATTTATGAAGTACATGATATGATATGATATGACATATAAACATGAGTGTTCTTCCAATAGTTAATCGCGTACAATCAAAAGAGATTGTTAAAGTTGCTATACAAAAAGAAGGAAAAATACCTCAATTAATAGAATTAAATCAAAAGAAGCCAACTTCTGAAATAATTGAAGAAATTTGCTCAAAGTAGCCATGTTATTTGTTATTTTATAATATTAATAAAATTAGTTGGGATATTAAGGATTGTGCTAAATACTGTTTAGAGTTTTCCGAAAATTCCAATTCAATATTTGTGCATGATAAAGTATCTTACTTTTTTTAAACTTTTATTACTTAAAATTCTAGAATCGTAATGAAATCATAAATGGGACAATATTATCATTGCAATCATCTCCTGTAATATATATTTATATATAATAATTAAATTGAAAACTTAAGTCATTTAAATAAATTTTAATTTACTGCTATTTTTACATTTAATAAAAAAAGTAAAAAGCATCTGTATTCTAATTTAACAACCTAATAAAGAAATAGAATATTGATGATGATCATATTAGCTTTAAATAATACATATATTATATAAATAGTTATATATTCAGGGTGAGACTTTAATGGTTTTCTTGTGATCATTTTATCAATATACTACAGACCTGGCCTGTGGCCCAAAAATATTAATGCTATATTTCCTTCCACCACTGGTGTATCTGGATATTTTTAAGGGGTGTGGGTTTTTATCATATTATTGGATATTTTTATGTCCACTCTTTGAAGACTTTTAGCTGGTTTACATATTTTATATTTTGGTTTTTCATTTTAATGTTTTCCTACTATTTTAAAAAAATTTGTATTTGTCTGAAATCATAATAAATACAAAATGCTTTAATTTTTTATTATTTAAAATACAAAAATTATCTAAAATATTCAATTAAATACTAAATACAAATATTCGCGTTACTGCCTAACCTGTTAAATCATACTTGTTTACTAATTTATACCATTAATTCATTGTAAATTACGTAAGAATTTATAAAAAAAAGAAGTTGTTTTGTTGTTATATTAAAAACTATTATTAACTAAAAATATTTTAGTGAACAAAAGGAATTATAGAAAGGAGTAAAGCATGCAGTGGCTTAGACAAGGGGGTGGGGAGGGTTTCAACGTTTGCATTTGCCCACCGTATGTTTTAAAAATTTTTTAACCCACCCATAGTTTTCAAAAAAATATATACCTGCCTGCCCCGCCCATTTGTTTAGAATTCTTTACCCACCTGCCCATTAGTCTAAATTTTTTTACCCGCCCGCCCATTATTTATAAAAAATTTTAACCCAAGTCCACTTAAAATTTAATAATGGTCATTCTTTCAATTTTTTAAACATCTAATAAAAATATTTCAGCATTACACCTCTACAAAAAGTTTATAATTTAGGAAATTAATTTAAGCATAAAAAAATATTCAATTTAAATTATGAACAATTTATTTGATCAAATAGAATATTTATGAAATAAATGTAAATATAAAATTGATATTATATGTAATTATTATGCAAAAATAATAATGAATCAACATTTTCTGGATTCAAACACGTTCTTTGTTTTAAAAACCTTCCAACAATGCTAAATCCTCTTTCAGAAAAAGCACTAGTTGAGGAATTGCCAATATTTTTTTTTGCTAATCTTGATAGCTTTGGTAAATCTCTTGTGGTTTCCACCAAAGTAGGATATCCATCTGAAGTATATCCTCTTCCTCAAGTGAGATCCGATATGTAAAACTCTTTTTTGAAGTGAGTACGAAGATTAATCTGCCATTCCAAAATAAAATACCGTGCTATTTTCGTAATCGTTTCATGCTATTCGGAATAGTAACAGAACAAAATACTATACAGTTTTATAAACTAGACCTCGAGTTAATATTAGAAACAGATGCATCAAACCAAGAATTAGGAGCTGTATTCATGCAAAAATATGATAATGGTAACGAATTTCCAATAGCTTACACCTCAAGAACTTTACGAGAAGCTGAAAAGAATTATTCTAGAATAGACAAAACAAAAGCAATAATGGCGTAGAAAAATCTCATAAATATTTATATGGACGAAAATTTAAAATTTTAACAGACCACAAACCTTTATTAAAGATATATGGTAATAACAGAGATTTTAGCTCATTAACAAACCAAAGATTATTACGTTGGGTTTATAAATTATCTGTATGCTTATAATATAATGTACATGAATGGCGCTAATAATATAATTGCAGATGCTTTATTGCGAAACCCAATAGAGAAAAATGATGATAGAATAACAAGTGAAAATAAAACAGTGAAATATATAAGAAATCTTACTTATGACACATTAGCTCTATCAAGTAAAGAAATGGTAGAAATATACAAAATCAGATTTACAAGCTTTTAGAACATGAATAGATGAAATAGAAAATTATTACGGTATTTTATTTTGGAATGGCAGATTAATCATTCCGTACTCACTTCAAAAAAGAGTTTTACATATATTGCATACGGGACATCCAGGTATTACAACAATGAAATCCATTACGAGACATTATATACGGTGGGAAAAATTAGATAAAGATGTCGAAAAACTAGTAAAGTGTTCTTCACTTAAATAAAACGATTGGTACAATAAAAAAAGAAATATTGTTATTGATCATAATTAATTATTATTATAAATGTCAAATACTAAAATGTTTTAAATGTCAAAACACTAAATATATTTTAAATGTTAATACTAAATATTAATGTAAAAATTATACTGTTTATAATTAATGTTTTAAAAGTCAAATATGTTCTTACTTGATACCTTTCCATGAAAATACCCAAAAACTATACCATGGACCAATTCTAGTGATCCAATCCCAACCCATCACCGCTTCCATATTCCAATTAATAATCCATAAATCCAATATTTCAACCCTTTCCTCCGATGTCGCCACTATCTTTACCCTACCCATAGCTGCCAACAAGGTTCCATCAAACTGCCTTATTCTCAACCCCTCATTCTCTATCCTTTTTCCAGGCCAAATACTTTGATATCCATTATAACCAATTACCGAACGGGCTGCTCCTGTATCAAATAGCATAGGCACCATTCTTCCCCCCAAATTTATCATGACTCTAGGACAAGGATCATGGACTAACCCCTCTTGTAGCATATTTAATATTCCCACTTGTGACATATTTACTCCTCCCTCTTTATTCGTTTTTCGCTGATTAAATCCCTCCTCCGTCCCTCCTAACCACTCTCCCCGACCTGTACTGCCATTTTTTCACCATCATATAGTCACAAATTCTCACAATCCCTCGCCACATGCCCACCCTTTCGGCATCTAAAACATTCCATATTTTTCCCCTCTAACTCTCCAATATTAATTGCTCGCCCCTCTTCCCCTCTCTCCCGCTCAATAGTCCTCACATTTAAAGCATTTGGACTCATCCCTTTCTGTAGGAAACCCCCTTTGTTATTGTAATTGTTCGCATTACATTCCTCCTTGTTATGCCCAAACCTACCACAACCAGCACATCTTAATCTCTCTTGTCTATTTGGACAATAAGGGGCTATATGTCCTTATTTTCCTCAACCAAAACATTTCGCCTCCCGGCAATCTCTAGCATATGACCTGGTTTACCGCAATTATAACAGCTCTCGAGATTCAAAATTTTGTCTTAATTCTACTCTCCTTCCCCGAGAATTCTCTCTGGGCTCTCTATACGGTCGCAATATTTGATTATTTTAATATTTTGTTTATCAGTGCTATATATATATATTACTGTTTATATCGCTATCCGTCTACCCTTTAATTAAATCTTGAACCGGTAACTAAGTAACTTTGCCCATCATATCCTCTTTTCTATTATGTCCCTCAATGGTCAAAGTTTGTCCTTTAATTCTTACGCTGCGACTCCTTCTCATTCTCCTGCCCTAAACTAAACTACATATCCATATTAATAGTATAACCAACGCTCCAAAAATATTATACTGAACCTCCCAGTATTTAACAAACTTTAAACTTTTCATCACGGCGTTATAAAAAATTTATGATCAATTTCAAAATAAAAATTTTGGTTATCTGTAATGTTAACAAGTAAGATATTATAAGTAACGTAAATAAGCCAATGATGCACATATACATGCACACTTAATAGGTTAATGGATGACAAATTCTTGTAAATTTCTTGTAACAGATTTATGTTTAAAAATATTTAGGCAGCACTTTCTACAATTTTTGATAAATATCGCCTAACAGCTTTATAATTGCAAAAATTTGGGCAGCACTTCCGCGTATCTGGCTTAATTTTTAATTTTTTTGTGAATTTGTCTATCAGAATTATATTTGCAAATATTTGGGCAGCACTTCCGTGTACTAGGCTTAATTTTTAAAATTTTGGGTAAATTTGTCTAATAGATTTATATATGGAAAAATTTGGGCAGCACTTCCGTGTACTATGCTTATTTAGTAAAATTTGCGCGAATTTCTAATATATTTATTTTCGGAAAAATTTGCGCAGTACTTTCGTGTAACAGATTTTTACTGGCCAAAAATTTGTGCAGCACTTCCGTGTACTAGACCTTTGTGGTTACAAACAACCTAATAAAGTCCGAAACTCTCGGATATCCTAACCTAATAACTTCCGAACCAATCGGGTATTTTACACCTAATAACTTCCGAACCAATCGAGTATTTTATACCTAATAACTTCCGAACCAATCGGGTATTTTACACCTAATAACTTCCGAACCAATCGAGTATTTTACACCTAATAACTTCCGAACCAAGGGTATTTTCCTAATAACTTCCGAACCAATCGGGTATTTTACACCTAATAACTTCCAAACCAATCGGGTATTTTACACCTAATAACTTCCTAACCAATCGGGTATTTTACACCTAATAACTTCCGAACCAATCAGGTATACGCGAAGGCGCAAGTAATTGGCCACTAATATTATAAATGTCAAATACTAAAATGTTTTAAATGTCAAAACACTAAATATATTTTAAATGTTAATACTAAATATTAATGTAAAAATTATACTGTTTATAATTAATGTTTTAAAAGTCAAATATTTTCTTACTTGATACCTTTGTTCTTATTCCTTAACCTTTTCTTTTTTGTTTTCAAGAAATCTCAACTAATAATTTTTCCCTTTTTTTCACAAGACACCAGAAATGGATGAATAATTTTTTTTAAAAAAAATATAAAAAACGCAATAATAATTTTATTTCTTTTTTCTCTCTCTCTCTATATATATATATCTATTTAATTAATGCATAATAATAAACAAAAAAAATAATAATTTTTTCTAATTTTAATAGCAATTTTTTATAATATATCACAAGAATGAATGCGCAAAAAAAATCAAAAAATATTAATCACAAATAAATTAAAAGAATGAATGCACAAAAAAAAATATTAATCACAAAATAAAATGCTTATTACACAAAATAACTCCACGCTAACACGATACACATAACAATTATGATTTTCTTTAGTTTGTTTTTGAACAAAAATTTTAAATTTCCTTAACCCGCCCTCCTATTGTTTAAATTTCTTAACCCGCCCGCCCATAGTTTCAAAATTTTTTAACCCGCCCACCTGCCCATTCTCGGAAATTTTTTGGGCGGGCGGGCCGAAACCCCGCCCAATGCATTTCAAACCCCCCCCCCCCTCCTTCTCATAACCATTTTTTATTGCAAATAATTTTATTTAAAACCTGTTTCAATTTAGAAATGAAATATATTTAAAATAAAAAAATAAGAATTTTCAATTTTAAATGATCACATTGTTTAAGGAGTCCGTGCAGACCTCTAGCGACACCCCCTGATTTTAAGTATATTATAGAAAAAATCTTATAATTTAAAAAAATTATTGGATAATGTTGAATTTTTATAATAGTAAGAATGGAACTTTCTTTTTTATAGAAATTTTAATTCCCGAGTTTAATTGCTTATTATTGGTTAATTATTTGTTTATTAAGGCTCGCATTTCAGAAGATGTAATAAAAATATTGAAGGAATATTTATGTGATCAAAATGTGCCAACGCTAAGCATTTCGTCTACGAATATGACATCAACAAATACTAAGGGCATATATCAAGGAACGCTGGCCTCAAAATTAGGAATAATGACCAACTATTATCACATTATCACAAATACCAATAATAATGTTAATAAAAATTTGTCTTTGGCAGGTCTAAACAATGACAATGAACGATACTCTACTTTAAATCATCAAGATGTCGTGGATAATTTACGGAAATTTCTGCGCCTTTGTTCCGATCAATATTTTGCTTCAATATACATAAATGATTATAATGGCCTGTATTATTTATTAATGGCTCTAAATAATGTAATAACGAATGGCTATAAATCTGACAAAGATAGAAGTTTTACCAACCTGTCTTCTTTTTTCTTACTTAATATAAAGGAGTACAAATTTTTAATGAATTTATAGCCATAAAATTAATTTAAAAAAATAATTTCCAAAAATTTTTATTATAAATTTAAGGTCTTTGAAGACAGATTTAACCATGTGTTTAGCTATGAGCATCAACGAATTTTTGCAAAATGGATTACTCGATTGGAATCCAGAGACGCAAAATTTATTGATAAAAGTTTAAATACAGTTTGTTTTTAAATTGACTTATGAAAATTAGATATCTCATTTTTTAAATAATAGAGACATTTTGAAAAATCCTCTTATCATAAAACCTTTCTTGGAAATTATGGAATATTTCTTGATCAACATGTAATTTTATTTTAAAAAATATATATTTTACTATTAAAACCTATATTAAAGACCAGGAAGTTATGATACGATTTCTCAAGAAATAAATATGGGAGCATTTATCGACCTATTACAAATGTAGCATGCTTTAAATTTTATGAAGCTTATACTAATATTATAAATAGCAATGATTATCGTGTACAAATTGGCACTTTACAATTAATCAATGTCACATTGAACAAAGCTCTAGAATTTAAAAAACATGAGGTCTTTTATAATGAATGTCTTTAATATTGATTTTTAGAAGTTTATCAATGAGTTATATGAAAATATCATCGGAGATGTTATTAATAAAGTTTAAGCGGAATTTTGGAATTATAATATTAATTTTTCTTTTTAGGCATTTATCAAAATTAAAATCAACCTAAATAATGAGGTAAGTCAACAATTGTGTATACTGCAAAGGTTTTTACTTTCGAAAATCGAAACTGATATAAATACTAATTTTGATGTTCTGGAACAAGTATTTATCAATGGTAAATTCTTAATTTTATTAGAGATATCAATTTTAGAAGCACAAAGAATTATTAGCTTCAATTAAAATTCATGTCAATGATTATAATGAAATCGATGTCGTACGCGCAAACTCATTGTCCAATTCTGAAGCATTAATTAACATTAATTTAATAAATGACAATTGCGAAGTATACAATCATAATTCACTCTTTCATGTATTTTAGTTAGTTAAACTAATATTCATTGTAATTTGACCTTCATGGTTAATTATAACATTCTTCCTAATTTATTCTTGTAAGATTAATTTATAACTGAACAATTTAAACTTTGATACTGGCACCAGCCATCTCCATTTTTATTCTAAAAAAATTACCCGCCTAGGTCGACTTTTCTAGGTCTTTTTAGGTTTTCACAAATCTTTAGCTAGCACACCCGGTCCGGATTATACAATTTGCTTTTCAACTCCACCCAAAAAAAAACTTTCATTCCTTGAATATTAAAATTCCGGAGAGCAATGAAAATAATTGATCAATCTATGAATAAATTTTCATTTATATAAATGATCTGAAACGACCAAAAGAACAGATATTATTTAACAGCTCGGTTTGAGTGGGGTCATGTAATGATATCTTCGTTTTAAACAATGTTACCATTTAAGTATATATCCCCCTTCTCTCCACAACCTCGGATATTAAGTCATTGATTCTACCATCCTAATATAATAATTTTGTCTAGTAAATATTATATTTTAAAAAACTTTTTTTTGCTAATATTTTACTTTTAGCCGATGTCTGAAATATTGTATACTTTACATCAACCTTACGGGTATCTGGCTATTAAAAATATGAAATATTACTCAACTAATTACAACGCTAATCTATCAAAAGTTAAATATTTTAAATTTTAATTAAGTATTTATATAAATATCTAGGTTATATATGAGAATGTCCTAAAAAATAATTCGTACGGATTTCCAATTTTTAAAACATGTGTTTATATAACCAAAATATTGTGTGAAACACTTAAATTAGGAAAATTTATTAATAGTAATAATCAATAGTTTTATATGCTATAATACCAATGTAGATCAAGAAGATGATATACCACAATATTTTTTAATGTTTTATACTAAACCATATTCTTTTTGCGAATTATTTATCATTATTTTTAATTTATTCCATAAAACTTGGAAAGAAATGAGAGCTTCTTCAATGGAGGATTTTAACAAGGTACGAAACAGATATCATTTTCTAATCGCATCTTTTATATAATCTCAATTGTGTTAAATAATAAAATGTTTATATTTGAGGTCGAAAATATGGAAACGGTCTTTTAAATAAATATTTAGTTTTAAAATAAGTTAAACCCTCATTTAATTTTCTTCATTAATATCTGCTAATTGTAAAATTTTACGTACACTATTTTAAACTTTTGTAGGTTTGTATTGTAATTCACGAGCAACTCAATCGAGCCCTTGCATGCAATCCCATAAGTTTTGACCTTTTAAAACAAAAGTTAAACGAACTATCATATTCAAATTTAAATTCAATTTGGCTTCAAGAACGTTATTATAAAGAGGAATTAGAATCTCAATCACCCGTTATAAAGTTAGACATTTATCAATTAATTTTTTAAGTGAATTATATAAATATTAGAAACTTGTAGGCCTGTACCAAATCCTTGAATAATTATTTTAGAAGACCTGGCAAAAATATAGTTTAGGCGATATTAACATTTAAAATTGTAACTAGCTGATAAATCAAGACAGACATTTAAACAATTAGATACTCATTCAAATTTTCGACTTGAATGACTAAATTTTAACAACTAGGGTCGGGCCTGAATATGGGTGTGTCTGCACGTTTATAAATATCTAATCATATTTTTTAATAGAGAATTAAGGGACCATCTAAAGCCTAAAATTGTAAAATTAGTCCTTGAAAATCGATTTTATTATATGGAATCAGGAACAATTTTTGCTAACTATAATAATAAAAACAATAGGATTAAAGGTATGTTACCATTTTTTGGTTTAAAATAACTTTTTGCTTTTTACAACCTTTAGATAAATATACATACATTCAGTTATCCTCTAATCATAAAACTTTACTTTATTATGTATGCGAGGAAAATAAACTTTGTGAAATAAATCTGAATTTAGTTCAATCAGGTAAACATAATGTTCCTTTGGCTTTAACTTGTACATTTATATAAAAATTTTAATTTAAAAGTAAAAAAAATATTTTTTAATATTTTGCGATTTAAGGGACGAAAAATATTTTCTAAAAATAAAAGGAATAATATATTTTTTGAACTCGAGCTGAAGCCTTTTTTATGGATTTAATTTTGAGTTGATAATAAAAATTAAATCAGGTTTATCATAAAAACTGGCTTACGGTTCAAGTTCTTTTCAAAACCTTGAGCTTTACTAACTTTATATTTTAATTTATTCCGCTTTAATATTATAAATTGAAGTTTATCTCAAAGATATAGCATCTATTGATTGTGGCAAAGATATCCAACAGTTTAAAGATATAAAGAATAAGAAAGTAATTATCTAATTTATTTATATTTTTGTGTAAAATTTATTCCAAGGCACTATTGTCATTGGTATTAATCATTAATTTGAAAAATGATCTGGGATATATTAATCTTATTGCTCCTGATATTCAATCGGTAAAAAAAAAATATTATATGCTAAAATGATATTTTAGTTAAATAAATGGATGGATGGACTATCTTTTTTGATAGGAGAAGAAGTATAATTTATATATATATATTAATGTTGAACATCATAAAAATATTTGCAACAGATTATGAGTCATGAATTCAAAAATGACTTGGAAACTCTTTTGAGTATGGAAATTAAAGTACATTTGTTAGAGATACAAAATATTGTTTTACAAGATACACCGCCTGATATACCAAAAGATCCGCCTCATTATAATTTTATATCTTTATTATAACTTTTAAATATAATTACTTTAATATATATTAATATCATAATGTAAAGATATTACTAAATTTTATATTATAAATTATCAGGATGTGGAAATAAAAATTAAAAAATACGAATTACTTGACATTTTACAATATTTAAAAATAAAAAAAAATTTCATAATGCCATGGTTTAAATTTAAAAAATATATTTTTTGTTGTAAAATTTTACGTTTAAAAAATCAAGGCTATAATATTTGAAATTTTGGGCAAATTATTTTGTCTATTTCGGATTTCTTACAAATTCACACCAAGACGTTTACACAACAGGCAAGACCACGTTTGCACAAGATTTTTTGCAAGAACCGGCAATCATTTCTTGCACTACTATAGGTGTCCGCATTCTAGCATCTAAAACCCATTTTGAATGCATCATTTCCCTTTTGAAAAAAATACTGACTCTCATGACTTGGATAATTTTCTACTGTTTGGTCACAGAGCCATTAAAACTCCTAATATTAATATCAAAATATCCTTTACGCAAGTTAGAAAACTAATGTGTATGGCAAATTTTTCAAGACCAATGAATCAGAATGCCCGAGCTAAGATAAGAAAACATTAAATTACCATTTAAATAAAATTGTGATTCGTAAGAAAATCTAAATATAAAAAGAGCACTACTTGGTAACTTCAACCTAAGCTGTAGCTCAATTCAACATGACAATAAACCAACAATTCCTTAACAATCAAGTATCACACAGCCGTTTGATCTATCATATAATTAAAACTTATTATCAAATGAGTTATCATAAAAAAAGCTCAAAAATTCAATCCTTTAATTTCAAAAGGATGCAACCAACGTGAAGATATATGGTCTATCTTTTTGCAAAACTTACCCCTTCCATATTAATGACCAAATACATTTGCCCCCTCACTTTACTGTGCAACAAATATTGTTGTTAAATAAACGCCTCGATTTGGCCAATTTTTACCTAAGCCTTCCTGCCCTCTATGAGTTTAATCACCAAGCTTGCCTAATATTTTTGTCAAAATATTGGGTTAGCCGTTTTTAAAAATCGAGCCATTATTAGCAACAATGCATTTGGTGATATTTTACAATTTTTTTTTTGTTATCATTTGGGGCCAAACTAATTGCCCTCAACAAAACTAATCGCCATAGGAATAGTCTCGAATAACCACAAAAATTATCTCGACCCGGTTTGTTGGTTTTGCTTCTGTTCTTCTTGAATCACGCAGCTAGGTGTTGGTATAAAAGGTGGCTGTGAGGCAGGGGTTCATGCTGCTCGAATATATATTTTAAATAATCCCTCAAATACATAAATAAAATAGGCTTTTACATTGCCTACAATACACTTCATATGAAACATTTTATCAGGAATCCAAACTATGCTATACGAATACTAAATTATTTGTTTTGTTACAATGCGAATAAAAAATCAATTGAATAATTCTTTTATTCGAATCAAATTATTCAAATAATTTGATAGAAAATTTGAATCATTCGGAATAATCATTAGTTTTTTAATAAAATTTAATCATTTGTCATTTCTATTTACTTATAAATCTGACAGGTGTATGTGACCAACATGTACATGAACTGCTTGAAGGATTTTTATGTTGAAACTAATTTTCTGGCATAAACCGCATGTCTTATAAAGAAGAAATAATAAGAAAAACACCTTAGCATTAAATTAATATGCATTTTAATTTCTTTAACTTGATTGCCATGTTTTTTATCATCAGTATAATAATTTTTAGTTTAAATTTAACGTGTAAAAAAAATGTTAAAAAATCCTGTCATTATATTTTTGTGTAAATTATTTTATATATTTTAAAAAAATATCGAATTGAATACAAATGTTAAATTAGCAAATCGAACATGAATAGTGAACTATTCATATTCGTTTTTGAATAGGCATAGTTTTACTCATAAAACCGAATATTAAATAAATTCCTAAAATTATTGCTTTGAAATATTCAGAAAAAAATATTTAGACATGACTTAATTAAAATGTTGACTTTCGTGCGTGAATGAGTGATAGAATAAATAAAATCAAAGCCAATTTGTTTATTACTAATAAATTTTGATATAATTTAGTTATTATATACCTCGTCCTAGCTAGACTAAATCAGTTCAAATTTCGCCATTAATATTATCAAAGTAAAAGTCACTAATTTAGAAACCAATTTTAGATAACTAAATTTGGGAATCATATGTTATTAAAACAATAGGGGGGATAAAAATGTAATTAATAAAAAGAGTTCTACTTGCATATTTCAGCATATAATTTTTTAAATAAAACTATTTAATCAGATGTAAACATTTTAAATTAGTTTGGAATGCTCTTGGGAAAACGAACACTATATTCGTAACTTATTTAATTGAATAAGGACGAGGTAATAAGATTGGTTGATTTAAATTTTACAACCCTAGTAAAATGTTTATGATTTTTATTTAAAAATCAGCATTATATCTTCCTTTTTATAAATAATTTAAATATTATTTTGATTGAATTGCCAATTTTATTATATCAACTATATTATAAAATTTGAAAATATTTTTATACTGAAAAATAAACCCATATTTATATAATATATTATAAGGCTGATTTATCTAAGGCTAGGATATATGAATCCTTAAATATTTTGCTCTATAATATCAATTGAGATCCTATACTACCCAATTGTTTGAAAATTGTAACAAAATTTTTAAAAAAAATTATATTAAAAATAGAAATGGTTAGGTGTTTGCGCTGTAAAGTTTTTTATAAAATTCGATATGTATAATACATTACAATATACTTAAATATATATCTTATTTAAAATCGGAATATTTTGGAAACGAGCCTTTAAAAAAATATATAGATTATATCATAACATTTACATAAATTTAAATACCTTGTGATTCATTTTCTTTTTTGATCTAAATATATTTTTTTAATTATAAATAAAACAAATTATAACCAATAATTATATAAACAGGGCCGTAACCACAGAAAGTATTTGGGAGCGCAACTCCTCTAAAAAAAGTTTACTCCCTCTCCTTCAAGAAAATTTTGCAAAATTGAGTTTTGTACCATTTAATTAATTTTAAAATGTTTAAATATTACATAAATTATCCTTTATATTACTAATTCATTCATTTATTACTAGTGATGTACACATTTCTTACGAACGAATTCGTTCGTTGTTAATTATCAAAAATCGTCATGTTCTTATCTTATCTAGCACGTTGGTCATAGACCTGCCCAAAATAAGCGAACGTGAATTTTATGAAGGCCCACCCTTCATAAAACTATGCCGATTTTTTTTTCAAGGACACCAACAAACCTTGTACCCAGTTGTAATTTAACAAAAATGAGTGGAACTTACCCTTTCAGATTTTGTAATAGTGAGATTTAGTAATGAGTATTATAAAAGAAAATATAAATTTAGTAATCATTATCTATTTTTTGAATCCATAGAATAACCACATCAATAATATAGAATGAATTAAGAATATATAGTAGTTTCCATTTCATCGTTAATTTTAATTTATTGAGTCCCCGCATTCGTACTGGATAGTAGCCATATCTTTAACTTTTGCTAACGGTTGATGCTGATGTTTTATAAAAGGTGGTTCCAAAAAATAAGCAAACGGGATTCAATGCATAAACTAGGGATAGTGAGAGTCATTAACCTAACATCAAATCCATTACAATATTAGGATGCTTTTTTCCCTCATTCATGCTGACTATTTACTATTTCTCTAATCCTTGGATAACTTATGCCGGCTAGCTTTAGTACAAGAGGTCCTAAAAATAGTTCCTAACGGAATCGAACATCCTTTAGTTCACTTGATTTTCAACTCATTAATTCCCACTATCAAAACGGCTAATAATTTCCATTCAAACAAGTTTTCTTTTTAGTCTCACACTGTTATATAACATTACCCATTACTTCATGTAGGTTCACAGGTTTTTATAAAATTTATGCAAAAAGGTGCACATTGGCTACGTATTATCTTTAGCCAAATATTTTTTTAGCGAAGAAAGATTGATACAGGTGTGTGGAAGAAATTAATATTTTTTTAAGAACTTCTTTTCTATGCATTTTAAAAAGTTATTAAAATTTGGACATTTTTGTCCGAAAGTATTTTGGTTTAGCGTTTTTTTGTACTAAATACTATATTCAGCTACATATGACCAGGACACTTCTAACCGCTACCGGTGTAAAATAGACGATTTAAACTGATTTTTCTTGAACAGAATTTTATTTTATATGTAATATTTCTATCCTATTTTAAATTAAAATATGAGACTCGATGTCTCTGGCTCAGCTTCTACATGAGCGGGAGAGGTAGGAACAGTTTGCATCCTATTTTTTTAAGGAGGTAAGCTGCTCTAATGGGGGTAGGATAAATTTTTTGTGGAGTTATCTATTAAATTTTGAGATGAAATAGGACAAAATTTATTGCTGTAAAAATTAATACTTTTATTATAGTATTATAATGCAATTCATCGACCAAATCTATATATTGCAAACAATCATACACATTGTTTTCCAAATAAACTATCCTTTTAAATGTAATTTAAAAGATTTAGATATTTTAGAAAGCTCATAATGCCATAATAATTAATTCATTGTAAAAATGGAGGTTTTAATTGAATTAATTATCTAAAAAATAAATTCTTTATATTCACAAAATATCGATAGTTGGTAGTAGAGATAAATTAATTTAAGTTATCCTTTATAAATTCTTGGAAAAGAGTATCAATAAATAAATAGGTAAAAATAATGACAATTTTTAGAGGGGTAGGCAAAGGTTTTTGAAGGGGGTTTCAGCGTCTACATGACAGGATTTTCACTGGATGCAAACCCTCTTCAAAAACCTTTGCCTAACCCCCTTAAAAAATTTCTAACGGATTTATTTTTTAGATAATAAATAAAATTAAATCCTCCATTATTTACAATGAATTTATGATTATAACTTTATGAGCTTGCTGCAATATCTATCTTTTAAATGTAATTTAAAAGGATAGCAGAAAGTTTTATTTGGAAAACAATATGTATAATTGTTTGCAATAAATAGATTTAACCAATGAATTGTATTATAATAGTTCTATTATAAAAGTATTAATTTTTACAGCAATAAATTTTGTCCTATTTCATCTCAAAATTCAATAGATAATCCCCGAAAAAATTTATCCTACCCCCATTAAAGCCGCCTTTCTCTACCCCCTCAAAAAAATAGGATGTAAACTGTTCATACCCCTCCCGCTCATGTAGACGCTGGGGGGTTTGCATCCAGTGAAAATCCTGTCATGTAGACGCTGCTCTGGCTGTAGTTTTCACACTTTTATAATTTAGTGGAGGTAGCATAAAAAGTAACAAGTAGATTTGTGGCATCTTTATAAAATGTGATACTAAAATAAGATGGATTGGGAGTGAAATTAAAACTATTACAAAATATTTTTCTACCATCAATCGCAAAAGGTTTAGCTATTTTTTAGTAAATTAATACTAATACAAAGTGCGCTTTACTTAGAAATAGAAAAATCAAATGTCGATTCCATGCATACGTCATTGGTAAGTGTCTCGTTTTTTCTATTATCTTTTTTAAATATATTTACAGAGTTGTAAAAAAATGTTTTTTTTACATGGATCTAGATAAATCGTTTAATACGTATCTAGATGAATATACATTTTAGCAAGTATTTAGATATAGATACAATTTTTATTAAACTTCTTAATTTAGGATTCTCTCGTCATGTTCAAAATTCATTTACAAAAAAAAAGGAACTTGTTTAAATTGGCAAACGCGTTTCCTCAAATCTATAAGTATATCTTGAAGCATTTACTGTAGATAAATGCCTAAACAGCACCAAGTTAGCTAATAAAATAGTTTATAAAAATATGACATTTTCATGATAAGCAAGAGTCTTCGTATTTAAAACGGAATTCGCTATGCTAAAAATGCGTTCGACAGGAGCTTAAAATGGTATTGCCTTGTTGTATTTGATAAATAAGGGTTTATTTCAGGAAATCTATTGGAAATATCAATGTTTTAGTTTGGAAAAATTTCGATAAACAATACCTTTTTTTAATTTTCCACCACTATTCTAATTTCTAACCTGGCATGATCAAATTAAAAAAGCTGGGCTTTTCTACTATATTAAATTGCTCTAATTTTTGTTATCAAATTTTATAAGCAACTTTCATATGTGATTGTAAGACATTGTATGCATACTTTTTTAGAACATATATATTTAGTTGCCTAAATCTATCAACTCTTAATACTATAATTTGCCGTATATTTATTTATTACTTCTAACATAGCATAAAATATTATAAAATTATAATTTATAAAGGTTGAAGTAAAAATTTTGATCTTTTTTACAACATTTTTATTTATATAAGTGGCGTAACTGACCATCGTGTTGTGTTAATAAACAAATTGAAATAGCATAAACTTCTTTTTTTTTAAAAAAATGAATTTTATAACACATTGGCATAAATATTACCAAATTCATATTCTAATTTGTTAATTCAAGAATCCATTTTTAAACATGACAAATCAGGTGTATAAGCATGATAAAAAAAATAACAGAAAGAGTGGGTTCATAATGCCCTTTATCTGACATAAGTTTTTATTACAGCCCTGTATACAAATAATATATTTAAGTCTTAAAGATTGCTGAACATATTTATCAACAGTATAATTTTCATCATAATTTGGTTTAACCTTATATTTAACTCAATCGACCCCTTTAAATTGTTAAAATTTTCTGGAATTATTTAGATACGATAGGTAAAAAAAATGAGAAATGTTTATTTTAGCTCGCTAACACACCTGGTTCTCGAGCTACAGGTCAAAAATAGAAAAATAGGGACATTTGTATCTGAAATTTTTCTAAAATACTTATATCATTGTTGTATCTGTTAATATGTAATTGAAAGATATGGACGTTTTTCAATATATTTTTTCGATAAGAAATATTATTGCTTTTTAAATCACGTGATTCTTTTGTTTATGAAAAAAGATTTATGAAGAGAATATTATTATGATTGCGTTTGTTTTGACAATAAAGAAAATATATAATTGGGAATTTATGATGATTATTTAATGTTTCGATTATATATATATATATAATAATTATAGATGTAAAATTCCCGGGAAAATTGGTTCAGGGGAAATTTCCCCGGGAAAGGGAAAAGGGAAAATTGGGGAAAAAATGGGAAATAACGGAAAATTAAAAAATAACCACAAAATATACTTTAAACCTTTCAATTTTTTTTATGGAATAACTTTATTAAATTTGGGGAACTAAGGGAAAATAATATAATTAAACAATAAAGACAAAAATAAATACACTATAAACATCATTTTTTGAATAACTTTATTAATTACAAAAAGCATGTATCAGAAATTACATTTAAAATTCTTGGGATGCTAATGAAATAGCATCAATATCTTCATGGGATGAAATTGAAATATCATCATTATCACTTGATATTGATAAATCGGAATCTGAACTCTTTTGATGATATCCCGAACTTGATGTATTTGTATGATCCTTTAAATGTATGTTATGCCTTATTGATATTAATTTTTCGACTCTTTCATTCTTTATTCTATTTCTCGTTTTTGAATAAATTTTTCCAAATGCTGACCAGACTCTTTCTGACGAGGCACTTGAGGGTGGTATCGAAAGACATCTTACTGTCACTTGACAAAGGGGTTGATTTGTACACAACCCTTTCCATCATATGAGTGGTGTGGTATGGATTGAGCTCTCTCATATGCCAGCTCCTTTATAGAAACCTTGTTTTGAACAATATTCTGCTAAATTACCCATAATTTTTCCAATATCGCAATTAATTTGGCCTGAAATAATATTTATTATATTTAAAGCTGCTGTTAATTCACGGTCTGTTAATTTC